GTCTGTGCGAGATAGGATCATTATTTTTGTCTCTCTCTTTCGGTTTTTTTTTTTTTTTCTTTTTCCGGTTCTTCTTCTTCTTGTTCTTCCATTTCTCGTATTACAAACTCTTATTTTCTCTTGTGTTTTTTTTTTTTTTTTCATTTTCATTTCCTTCTCATTTTTCTTTTCTTTTCTTTTTTTTACTTCAGTGGTTCATTTCTTATTTTCCTCTCTTGTAGTTCCCCTAATCTCACTCATTCGCAGTATACCTCCAACTTCTTCACCAATACAGTTCTCTCTCTCTTTCTCTCTCTGCACATCCCCTCTAACATTTCCGCTCAGCCGCAGTCAACATTTCCATATAAAAGAAAAGAAAAAAGAAAAAAGAAAAAAAAAAAAATCAACAATATCAAACAAAAACAATATTTCCCCGCTTCCTCTTCTTCTTCTTCTTCTTCTTCTTCTTTTTTTCAGAATTCTCATTACTAATACAACTCGCTTGCGACTATTTTAACCCACAATAATCTTTTCTTGCGTCTTTCTCATGTTCATTTCCATTTTCATCTTTTTTTTTTTGTTTTTTTTTTGTTTTTTTAATATGTTTTCTCTTTTTTTTTTTTTTGGTTTCGTTTTGTTCACAATTCCCTCCTGTTTTTTTTTTTTTCTGGTTGCTTCAGTCGCCTTTATGGGAAACCCTTTTTCTCTCTTCTTTCTTTTTAAATTCCTGCAGAAAAAAATCACTCTGGGGATTGCCGTTCTTTTTTTCCTTTCTTTTTTCTTTTTTTGTTTTCAGACGTCAGTGGGTGCAGCGCAGCGATGAGTCCCACACACACATTTCTCTTTTGTGGGTGTCATTTCATGAAGAAGAGGGTTTTGTTTTTTGTTTGATTTTGTTTCTTTTTTTTTTTGTTTTTTGAATTCCTTTTGGCTCCAATTTCACTCTTCATCTTGTTCCTTCTTTCTTCTTCTTCTTCCTATATCGTTATTTATTTTCATTATTTTTTTTTCTTTTCCATTCTCCTTCCACGCCCACCCCCATATTTCTCTTCTCTTGGTCTTCCTTTTTTTCTTTTTTCTTCTCAATTCATCGGCTTTTCTTTTTTTTTTTTCTTTTTTTTTTTCGCATTTGGTTGGTTTCTCACTGAATCACCCGAGGGGCGTCCTTACATCCCCCCTCACTCGATAATTCGCCACTAAATGCTGCCGCGTCGCACACCTTTTCTTACTGGTGTTCTTTCTCTTCACGTTTGTTTGTTTTTTGTTTTTGTTTTTTTCTTTCTCTTTCTTCTTCGGGGTTGTGTCAAGTATTCCAAACGCACTAAAGAAGATAATTTTCATTTTTTCTTCCTTTTATTGGGCGCCCTAGCGTATATATATATATATATATATATATACGTGTGTGCGAACGCATGTAATTCCTTTGACATTATTCCGGGTGTCGTTGTTGCTATTGCCGACTTCATCATACAAAGATTCACTCTTCCCGTATGTTTTCTTTTCAGTTTTATACTCTTGTTCTTCTTTTTTTTTTTCTTTGTTTGCTTTTTTTTTGTATATTCTTTTTTTTTGTGTGTATGTGTGTATTTTCTTTTTTATTTTATTTTTTTTTTCTTTCTTTTTTTTCCCCCAATCAAGAATTTCTCTTTCTCCACCTTCTCTCATTCATTCAGTCCCGCCTTCTCACAATCGTTTTTTTTTTTTTTTTAGTTCTTCTCCTTGCTTAAGGAGGGGATCTTTTCTTCTCTTTCTTCTTCTTTTTCGCCCTTCTTCATTTCTTTCGTTGTTGTTCTTCTTCTTCACGTCGTTTTGGTGGATTTCATGATTGTGGCAACTGAAAAAAAAAGTGACTGGGAATGGAGTTTCCGTACCTGCGCGTATATATATATATATATATATATATATATATATTTCTCTGTGGGTGGGTGTTGTCTAAGAAAGGAGAAGAAAACCAAAAAAAAATTAAGATAAAACAGCGCTTTGCCGGCTCCCTTTTTTTTTTTTTTCTATGAATGGTTGTTGTTTATTTCTCCTCCAATTTCTTTCATTCATTCATTCATAGCTTCTCTGGTCTTTTTTTTTTCTTTTTTTCCCCCAGCACTGCGTCTGTTTATCCCCTCAAAGTTGTTTTCTTCATTTCACTTTCTTTTCGTTTTCTCTTTCCCATTCTCGATTTCTTTTCTTTTTCTTTTTTTTTTTTGTGTTAATGTTTTTTTTTTCTTTTTTCTTTTTTTTTTCTTGTCATAATCACACATTTCCCCCTCCTTCCACGTTTCTTCCCTCTTTTTTTTTCGACTTTCTTTTTTTTTTCTTTTTTTGGTTTTTTTTTTTTTCGGTTTTCTTTCCTTTCACTCCTTCCCAGCAGCCTCTTTCTCCCCCTCCAATCACCACTTGTTTCCCTTCCATTCCTTTGCCTTCCTTCAACCTTCTTTTTTTTTCTTTGGTTTTTCATTCATAGGTTTCTTTGCTTTTCTTCTCGTCGCTATTGTCCTATTCTTCTTCGTTTTTCTTCGTTTTCCTGTTCACTCTCCTTCAGAACTTCTTTTTTCTTTTTTCTTCTTTTTCTTCTTTTCTTTTCTTTTTCTCTTCTCGTGTTCTTCTTTAAATCCTCTGAAGACCATTATTGCCCACATCGTATAAACCGTGGATGTCCTCTGGCGGTTCGTCGTCAAAGTGGTCGGCCCACTTCTCCCACATCAACACTATCGTAGATTGAATCCGGTCGTCAATGAGGAGATCATTCGGCAGGACGGCGGCCTTATCACTCACACTGTAGGCGTTAATGAGATAAAGGGCTCGGAGTGTAAACGTCATGACTGTGCGTAGGTGTAAACCAAGATCAGGGATATCACGGAACTTCTGCTGGAGATATTCAATACGCTCCTCACGTGTGGTGAGGTTGGCTTGATAGTCTGCTGGAAAGACAAGGACGTAGTGAAGAAGAAGCCCACCAATTGCGGAGGGTACACCGCCAAAAGGGAGTAGTGAGGAAAAGGAGGCGAGTTCACTTAATGAACAACTGCTGCTACCAGAAAGAAATATAGTAGTAGTGATCACCTCCACTAACTCACGCAAACAACGACACATGGCTCGCACCATTACCGTAAATGCACAAAGATGGCGACTGTAAACAGGTGCCCAGATAAAAGGTAAATCTTCACTTGGACGGTGATAAGGTAAATTGACAAGACAGGCAATTCGTGAAGCGAGCAAAACACGAGAATCAGAGTTAGCTTCTTGACCTTCCATAGGAATTGCTTCTTTTTGATCTTCTGGGTTAATGTATCGACATGGTAAACTACCAATAATTCCAACTCGAAGAAGTTCTGTTAATATCACAAAAGCAGTTTGAAATGATTGCGGATTATGCTTAATTGTATTCATTAAGAATGTAGGGAAATACACTGTTGGATATTCATTTAGTCCTTCATCCAAATACATATCATGATTTTGCATTCCCATACCTTCATTATATGCATTGCTATCACAAATAGGTTGTGGGGCAACACCATCTTCATTCATCATTTGACTCATTCCTTCTTCCCCTTCACCAGTCATATCCGGTGTTGTTGCCGAATGAGAAAAGTATCCAAGGAAGTCAAATACTTTTAGTAAAATAGCAAATAATGTTTCTTTTTTACCATGATATCGAACAGGCATTTTACAAGGGGAAGATGTATTTTCATCTCGTACTGGTCTTGCAGCATCTGTACTGAAGCTGAGGACAGAAGCGATGCTATAATTTTCCAAGTGATCATCATCAAGTTGTCTTACCTCGTCACTATGTGAAACATCCCATTCGTCCAAATCGATAAGATCTTTTGGTCGATTAATGGATGACAAAATAGGATCATACCAACGTACCCATGAAAAAGATTCTGTTCTCTTAGAACTTTTGTCATCTGCAATTTTATTAAATATTTGTGCAATGATTTGACTTCGCATTGTCATAAGAAATTCCAATTTTTCATGGTAATCTTTGGTGTCTGAAACGGGACATTCATCACGGAGGTATAATTGAGTTACGACTGTCATGATATGAACCGGAAGGAGTCCAACAAATTGCAAGTAAAACAAAGAAAGTGGGACACGATTACCTAGTACCGCACCCAGAATACCTGGCATATCATCATCTGTTAATGAAGGTTCAAGAACCCGCATAAGGTATACCATAGGATTACCTGGAGTTTTTGTTGAAAAAACGCTGCAATAACGAAGGTATCCTCGACCTTTAAAATGTTTTATAATAGGACTGCCCTTCTTTTTATTTACGTCAGGTACAGTAGCGTTTTCACCTATAAACTCCTTAATTGTTGAGAATTTTGGTACTTTAGCGGAAAGCTCTTCATAAACTTCTTGCATTGTTAAATTAAGGGCTACTCGAGTAGAAGAAAGTGCAGGGTTTGTCGCGGTAATTAAACCAAAATCCATCAACCTATCTCCAGCCACTTTTGTATCGGTTTCCGTAACATGATGCGGAAAAAGTGCCCGAAGAACTCTATCCCGATCAAGAAAGTGCACATTTGTACTAGAAACATCAATTTGCATAATAAATTTCATTTCATTATATGGAAGTAATATCATTTCTGGAGGTCCCAAAAGAATATCTGCAACTCCTTCCTTGTGAAAGGCAACCATTTGAGCCCAATTAAGAAAAGGAGCTGTAACAGTCAATACATTCAGCTCCTTTTGCAAATAACGCACAACAGCCATTTGAACATCTTCTCCTAAAGGCTGATCAAATGCGGTTTGAATTTCCATTACTCCTGGTATAGTACCTTCTTCCAACCTACTCCAAACCTCATCACGCGCTCGAAGTTCTGATTCTGTTGTTAAGAAGGTTTCAACATCACCACTCACACTGAGTCCATTAAAAACCCAAATAGGTTCCAACTTTAAGCTTCGCATCCATTCTACGTGATGCCACACTAATCCGAGTAATTCTTCTGGAAGAGTAGAGTGTAAGAACCATAATGGATCTCTCTTCCGAAGTTCGTCACGAAGGCTCGTAAGGCAAAAATTACCATCAACCGCAATTTTTAATGGAGGATCATTTTTAGGATCATATCCTTCTGGAAAAAAGTAAGAGAGAGGACCAACAGATACCAAATCTCGTTCTCGAAGAAATTCGTAAAGGTTTTCAGTCATAGCATTAGGATCAAATCCTTTCATATGAGTAGAATCTCCAAGATCCATTTGTGTAGGCATTAGTGGAGGTTGAATAGGTGGCATATTTCCTCCTCCCATTAAACCTACTGGTGATACCATACCAGGAGACATCATACCAGTTTGTTGATTAAAACGACCTGATGACATTCCACCACCTACAACACCAGGATCTGGAGTTCCAATAATAGGATGTCGAGGAGCGTTAGGGAGTCCCATTGGATCATTCATTATACTTCTCCCACGCATACCTGGATAACCACCACTACCTCCTCCTCCTCCAGCACCAACCCCAGGAGCAGGATGTCGAGAAAGAGACATTGGGCTTCCACCAACATAAGGTCCTTGAGGTGGAGGAGGTGGGGGTGGAGGTGGAGGTGGAAGCGGTGCTCCTACATTTGATCCATATCCCACCTGTGGTGGTGGACTCAGACGATTGTCTGGATATCCACCATACATGCCACTTCCACCAGCAGGACCTGCTCCACCTTGTTGCATAGGATCCATTGGAGGTTGTCCTCCTCGGCCGTATCCCATTGGATGTGGAGTACCTTGACCTGGGAGACCGCCATAAGCTCCGGGGAGCGGTCCATTAGGTGGTACACCACCATGCGATGGTGGATTTCGCATATAAGACATACCTGATACCCCGCCCATGTGTGATGGAGATGGGGGATATTGTCCACCATGCATATCCGGATAGCCACCACCCATATCACCATAACCGCTTACGCCTCCAGGTCCCATAGGACCATAGCCTTGGTTGTACATTGGCATTTGTTGTTGTGGGCTGTTCCAACCATTTCCACCTCCTCCACCACCTTGACCAAATCCGTGAGGCGGCATTTGCTGCATACTGTGCGGTGGAGGTCGTGACCCGTCATAGACGTTGCTATAGCTGCTATTGTGATGGTGGTGATGATGATGATGGGGTTGAGGTTGAGGTTGGTGTTGTTGTTGGTGATGTTGGTGATGGTGGTGATACTGGTGGTGTTGATGCTGATGCGGTGGATAACCCATGGAGGGGCCGGGGGGGGCCATGGGAGAACCCTGCTGGCCCTGGCCGCGGCCCTGTCGATCGGCATTTCGGTTCCCACCCGCTCGTCTCATTCCTATGTCAAGTGTGCCCCCGGGATCCGAAACTGGTTAGCACACAAAACTACTATGGACACTGTTGTTTTTTTTTGTTTGGTTTTATGGTTGTGGATAGGAATAGGTATATATATATATATATATATATATATATATATAGATAGATATACATTCAAGGGAAATCAAAAGAGTGAAAAAAAAAAAAAACATATAGATATACATAAACAGTAAGAAATGAATCCATACATAAATAAATAAATAAATAATTCAAGTGGGGTTGAAGAAAAAAAAAAAAAAAAAAAAAAAAAAAAAAAAAAAAATAATAATAATAATAATAATAATAATAATAATAATAAAAGGCAGTGGGGTTGCAAGACAGAATAATAATAATAAAACAAAAAAGTAAAGGAAAACAAAAATATACTCCCTATCGTTAATGTATTATTATATATATTTTTTTTTAACCTCGTCTTCCTTCGGTCGTTCCTACTTTTTTCCCCCATCTGCTGAGGATGATTTTCTTTTTTTTTGTGTGTGTGTATGGGTGCATTTCTTTTTTTCTTTCTTCTTCTATTTAGAATTCTTTTTTCTTATTTCTTGTTCCATTCATTCTTTCTTTCCTTCTTTCCTTTTTTTCTTTACTTTTAAAGAGGACCCAAGAAGAGAAGAAGAAGGAAGAGAGAAAAAAAACAACAAAAAAAAAAAGAAGCAAGTAAACTTATGACGTCTTTGCATCTTCCAGTGAACGCTTTGTGAAGAGCACATCACCTTCAGTCCCATTTCCAATTGGTGTTCCTGGCGGAATAACACCAAACTCAAAGTTAGCTAAACCTGAACGATTCGCCTCTGGCACACCAAGCATATCAAATATAACTGGTGCCTTCTGTGAGAGAACAGGGCTTAACATAAGTGTAGCCAGCCGTAAACCTTCCATGGTGATATATAAAACCGTACGTAATCTCTCAGGATCTGTCTTCACAAGCTTCCAAGGTGCATTTTCTGTAACGTAGCCATTGATCGCACGGAGGACATCAAAAACAGCGGATAATGCTTTTTGTACGTCTGGAATAAGGAAGTAGTGATCCACTGTTCCAGGCATATTCTTAATAAGTTGTACAATAGTCTCATCTATCTCATTGTATGTACCCGGTGTTGGCCACTCACGATTAATGTTAATCTTAGCAGAAGTGCATCGCATCACCAGATTTCCAAGTGTATCTGCCAACTCTCCATTAAGACGCGCAATCATATTCTTATCGCTGTAATCACCATCATCAGAGAAGCCAGATTCCCGCATAAGGAAATATTTAAGAGCATCAAATCCGAATTCACGTGCCTTTTCCACTGGATCAAAAACGTTTCCAAGAGATTTACTGATCTTTCGGCGATCCTTTGTCCACCATCCGTGGGCAACAATTTTTTCTGGTAATGGAAGACCTGCTGACATTAAAAAGGCTGGCCAGTAAATAGCATGGAACTTCAAAATATCTTTTCCAATCACATGAACATTAGCAGGGAATCGATTTAATGTAGTATAATCATCTACCAAATCAATTTCCTCTCCAGATTCATTAAGACGAACTCGTGAAGCGGTGTAATAGTTCGAAAGGGCATCCAACCAAACATAAATACAGTGATCTGGATTTCCAGGAACAGGAATGGCCCAATTCTGTACGGTTTCTTTTGTACGAGAGACACTCAAATCATGTAAACCATTCTCTACTGTACGAATAACTTCACGTCGACGAAATTCCGGCACAATACAATTAGGATTATTATTATACCACTCCAGAAGCCGTTCACGAAAAGCGCTTAAACGAAACATATAATTTTCTTCCGATACCCAAGTAACAACATGACCACTCTCAAGACTTACCTTGCATGGATTTCCATCCTTATCAACCCCATCTGTTACGTTTTGGGCGGTAAGGAAAGATTCATCACTTACAGAGTACCATCCTTCATAGCGTCCAAGGTAAATATCACCCTTTGACTCCAATTTTGTCCATAACTCCTGTACAACTTTCATATGACTCTTATTAGTCGTACGAATAAAATAATCCATATCATATCCCATTTGTTTAAAACAATCTTGAAATTCTTTGGAAACAAGTGTAGTAAATTCATAAGGTGTTACTTGTTTCAGTCGGGCAGCTTCTGCAATTTTTTGTCCATGTTCATCCGTTCCAGTTACAGCAAACACACGTTCACCTTTTACTTTATGGTAACGGGCAATAACATCAGCAATTAAAGTACTGTATACATGCCCAATATGAGGAGATGCATTCACATAATAAATAGGGGTAGTAACATAGAATACTTTATTCACTAAAGGTGAAACTGTATATGTCCGAGGTGCTCGTAAAAAGTCAGCCATTTCTTGAACTGAAAGTGTTTCAAATGCAGCAGAAATGAGTTCTTCTCTTGTTTTATAAAATGCGTTAAACCATTTTACAAGGTGTGGTATCTTTGCAGATTCTTGTTCTCCCAATAATCCACCTTCACAAAGTGCTGGTAATACGGCACACCACATAATACAATCCACAAGAAAGGATGGTGTAGGGGTAGCAGAACTCTTTTCATTCTCTCCCTTCTCGTTACTCTCTGCAATCTCAACACAGAGACTCTTACCATTATTCTCAGCAACTTTGCTATCCAAATACTCAAAGGCGGACATGGCATCAGGTGTAATGCGTCTCTGTGTATAGAGTGCCTGTACTGCCATAGTAAAGGTGGTTGCCTCCCACTCCATCCAAGCCTCCTCCTCTAACGATAGGCTTTTCATACTACCCAAAGCATCAGCTGCCTTACTCTCATTATTATTATTGTTGTTGTTAGTGGTTTCCTTTGGGGAATAATGTAATATTACCCGTGCCATCTCATTTGCAGAGAAGAGGGGTTTTTTGAACGATGGGTGATGAAGTACAGGTGTTGTGTATGTACCGGAGAGAGTGACCTCCACTGGTCTCTTCATGTGATAGCAACAAAGCAGCGCCTTTAACGCCTGGTAGTTGGCCTTCTCTGTAAATAACTTGAGGCTCATCTTCTGTGTTTGTCTCTCTTTTTCTTTTTTTTTTTTCTTTCTTTCTTTCTTTTTCTCCCTTTCTCTCTTAATCACCTCTTTTTGTTTAGCTATGTTGTTGTTGTTGTCTTTTTTTTCCTTTACTTCTAATAGTATACCTCCTTTTTGTTTTGTTTTTTTTGTTTTTGTTTTCTTCTTATCCGTCCGTTGACCTTTTCTTTTCCTTTCGTTTAGTAGTGCCGATTGTGCCTGTAAACCAGCGTAAGCAGGAATTTAAAGAAAAGAAAAAAAAAGGAAGGAGAAGTGAAGACAAGAAAAGTAGAAAAAAAAAAAAAAAACAATGCTGATGGTCCACCAAGAAATATGGACATTCTCTCATTTAACAATAATAATAATAATAATAATAATAATAATAATAATAATAATAATAATAATAATAATAAAAGAAAAACAAATGAAATATATAATAAATAATAATAGTAATAAAAAAGAAAAAAAATGGCACACTAGATAAATTGCAAGCCGTTCTACAGTTTAAAACGAATGATAATAATAATTATTATTATTATAAATAATAAAAAACCATAAACGGTTGCGGAACGCTTCTCCTATACATCCAACCTTCTCATAATTATTATTATTATTATTATAAATAATAAAAAACCATAAACGGTTGCGGAACGCTTCTCCTATACATCCAACCTTCTCATAAAGACACATAAATATATATTCTTTTTTTTTTTTTTCTCTTTGCCAACTACACACTTTCGGATCGTTTTCCATCTCCTTCTCCGCAGCAATAGTAGCATTATAGAAGAACTCAAGGATAGCAAACAAGAAGGTGAAGAACAAGCAAAAAAAAAAAAAAA